TTGAAGATTCAAAAATGTATATCAAATTTGGGACTTTACCTTTGGATTTTTAGGTTTTGAATTTTAGAATTTGGGATTTTGGATTTTTAGGTTTTGATTTTTGGTTCGAGGTTTGGGGTTTAAGTTTTACCGTTTAGAGGATTTAGGGTTTGATTTTAGGGTTTAGTGTTTAAGGATTGGGATTTAAGGTTTGGGATATTGGATTTTTTAGGTTTTGAATTTAGGGTTTCAATTTTAAAGTTTGGATGTTTTAGGGATTTGATTTTAGGGTTTGGAAGGTTTAATATTTTTTTTTTAAAGTTCAGAGGGTTTAGGGTTTCATTTTTAAGGTTTAAAGGGTTTAGGGTTTAATTTATGGTTTAGAGTGTTTAGGGTTTAATTTATGGTTTAGAGGTTTGAGGTTTAATAGTTTTAGGGTTTGAAGGATTTAGGGTTTCAATTTCGAAGTTTTGATTTTTAAGATTTTAAAAGAACGCGAATATCTCTAAAAATCTCCAACATCTAGGCGAACATTCAGAACAAGTTTAATTTTTGTGAATTTCAAGAAAATAATTTTTTTATTATAAAGTTAATATTAATCTATTTAATTTTAATTTTTTTATAATAATAATAATAATTCCCCAACATCTAGGCGAAATTATTATTATTTAAAACGTAATTGTATTCCATCCAACATCTAGGTAGAGAAAAGTTTTTTTTTTAATTTATTTTTAATACATATTTTATTATTATTTTTTATTCAACACTTGGATTATTAAAAAAGAATTAAGAGTTTTTTTAAAAAATCATTATTATTGTTATTGTCATTTAATTATTATTATTGTTAATTATTACTATAGAACAAAAAGTATTTATCTTAATAAACTCTAAAACTTTTAAAGCATGCATAAATAACAATAATAATGTTAAAAATGATATAAATAAATAATTTTAAAAAAAATTTTTTTACCTAAACCGGACCGGTCAACAGCGGTTCGGCTAGACTGAAAACAGAGGTGGTTCGGTAATCGATTCGATTGAACCGATTGAGTGATGGTTTAGCGCATGGTTCAGTTGAACTGGTTCAAGGCTGGTTGAGACAAGTTGGCAGGTCAATTTACGCGGATCTCGAGTTGGGTAACGGGCATGCACAGATCCTCTCTATGTTCAAAACGACGTCGTTTTGCTCCTATGGTTTTTCTATAAAAGTCAACTTTTTTTTCAATTCATTTCATCCCTCTTTCAGAAAAAAAAAAATTCTCCAGCTCTCCAAACTCTCTTTGACTTTGGCCGGAGTCCGGTGCCATACCACGTGCCTGCCGACATATAGGTCACCGTCAGTGATCGTCGGTGATAAAAAAACTCCAAAATTTACCGAAAAGATCTTTTCGACCTCCTGAGCTCAGATCCGTTATCCTTTTCATGAGAAATAGCCTCGATTGGCATAGATAAGGACTTGAAGTTTTCTATGTTATCTCTTTTTTCTTTTAAGAATAACTGATGATCTTTTTTTCTTTGGTGCATATGACTTTAGCGCTTAGGCTCCTCCTTACAAAAAGGACAGTGTTATTGGTTTTTTTTTGTTTTTGTGGCTCTGTTTTTTTTGTTTTTGGTTTTTTTTTTAAAAATTTTCTGATGGGTGGAGTGTTTGGGTTTTTGGGAATGGTTTCAAGCTTCTGGGTGTAGGAGTTTGGTGTTTCGGAGTAGCTGGAGATGTGCCCGAGAGAGACTAGAAGGGGATGAAGTTGGGTTTTTTATAGGGCTTGATCGTGTCTGGGACAATGGGTGGTCTAAGGGTTGTAAGGGGTGGCTGTAAAGGTGGCTGTAGTGTTCTGATAAAAGGTGGCTAGTCTGGTGACTAGTTTTGTAGCTGGTCACAAGGGTTGCTAGTCTGATGGGACTGGGTAAAAGTGGCTGGATCATATAGGCTCGGGCAGAAGGTTGGACAAGACGGCAACGGCACTGTACACCAGCCCTCTATTTTCTATCTCTCTTTTTTTTAATTAATTTTAAATTTTTTATTATATTTTCTGTTTAATTAGTAAATTAATATTAAATTAAAATAAAATAAAATAAAATATAAATTAAAAATATGTTTTGATCTTATAGGACTATATTGGGCTTTTGGGCTTGGTTAGATCAAATTAAGCTTGAAGCCCAATTAAGTCAAAATCGGACCTAGAGCCCAGTCAAATTAAAATCGGGCCTGAAGCCCAGTCGAATTAGAATCAGACTTGGGTCTGAAAATTCAATACACGCGACGAGTTTTAAAACAAGACTTGACTAAAAACCGAACAAATTTGATGTCTACATAATCTATTCAAATGTTTATTAAAAATTAATAAATTAATTAGTTATTAAATAGACATATAATGCAACCATTGAACTTTGGTTGCCGAATATAAATTTTCTATTAGGCTTTGGTTGTGGAATATAAAAATTCTATTTAATGTCCACGCATAAAATAATAATCTTATGCTATTTTAATTGATTTAACAATTTTGAGCAACAAATCTAAATTTAAAAAATTGCTAATAAGACCCTTCTAATTTCTTACCTATTTGTAAGATGTTCAATACTCTCTTCGGCAATGGCAACAACTATGTTTAGACCTCAAATGGACTGAGTAGGCTCTTGTCAAAGAAAAATAATGGTAAAAGACAAAGGTAGGAGGTGAGTCACAATCAAATCCGAAGATGAGCAAAAGAGGAAGGAGAGGAAAATGAAAAGAATGAATGACTTAAGATTATTTATGAGAGAATGAGAGATATTTATACTTGAGATGACATTAATTCTTGGTGACATTCGATCTAGAACGGATTATGCTGGTGTAGATCTTTGTGGACTAATAGCTAAACAGTATGTCAAATTCTAACCTTATCATTTCTTACCAACTGTATGATTTTGAAATTTTTTTAATAATTTTTTTATGAGGGCAAATGTTTATTGTTCTTAATTGGAAATGAATAGCGATACATGTCTTATTCTCTTTTCTTTTACCAAATGAAATTCACATGTTTAAAATAAGATTAACAATTCAATGAAGGGATTCTATTTGGATTTCTCTTAAAATTATTTTTTTAATGGATTTTTTCCAAATGAAACTAATTATAATCTAAAAATAAGATTGACAAGCCCTTGGAGAAATTATATCCTTATGAACCTAGATATGATTTTTATTATTAATTTCCATAAAAGATATGCATTTAATGGAAAACTTTATTGGATTACCAGAAAGAGATAATCTCTCTAGCTGGCAATGGCATATCTCTTACAAATAAATACGTTGATTCTGGCCGTATTTGAGAGTCAAAGCAAGCATGCAACTAAGAAATAGAAAAAAGATGAATTATTTATTTAATGAGCATATGAAATGCATATCTTTTATTTTTATGTATGTATCTGTAAGCATTATCAGCAGTCTATTTGGGATATTTCCATTCTTGTCGATACAACCTGCAATCGTCGAATAATTAATGACATGCATGTTTCAAGGAAAACAACTTAAATTTCAATACTCCTTAAATTATTATCTTTGAGATTTTATTTCTAAATCTCTTTTCATGGTTTTCAGCATCTGCTTTTAATGGTGTGATAAAATAAATTTTATATTCATTATAGATAATATAGACAATAATTTTACATATTTTTAATAAGGCATAAGTGTGAAAAAAAAAAAATTATAAATGTTAAAATTTTAATTTTAATTAGATATCACTTTTTAAATATGACAATATTAATCACCTGAAATTTTTACATGTATATTACTAATTGCTTTATTTTAGAATGAATATGTATTTTAAAATTTATGATGCCTAATTCCGTTTGTAAGTTTTTACGCTCATTCTTCAAGTATCGAAATCCAAAAGTTCAATTGAATCTTTTATATTATATTTAAATTTTATTTTGAATTTAAAATTTAATTTAATTAATTTATATAATTATTTTAAAATTTTAATATTTAATAAATATGAAATTCAAAATTTAACATTTAAAATTTTTTCACTTATCTCAACTATGGTACCTTTATATAAAAAAAAAATTCTTACTTTTTGAATAAAAATTCTTTGAATTTGAAAATTCAAATTCCAATTCTACTCATATACTTTTTTTTTTTTCTTTTAAGGGAGATAAAACTTTATGGAGAAGACTTGTATATACCATATTTGATGGGACACAAAAGCTTTTCATTCACCAAACTAATGGACAGCTGTATTCAACCAGGTGGTCAAAAAAAAAAAAACGTTATCCTAACACTAAATATGTATTTGTTGGGATTTTTTTTTTATCATTTAAGAGCGCAAAAACTTACATTAAAAAAAAAAGGAAAAAATTAGGATTCGAATTCTAATTTTGATATTTTTTTAAAAATTGTTTTGATTTCTAAATCAAACAAACGAAGATAATTTTTGTTGGGATATTATTATTGCTATTTAAGCCTTCTTCCTTGTCTCAGGAAAGGGGGGGATATGAAAGCAAAGAAGGATGCCTAGTAATGGATCGAAGTCGACACAGAATCAGAGATGAGCATTATGCCATTCGACAACAGTATTAAGAAATGGTTTGCAGTGGAGGACAGCATATTCAATCCATCACTCCGTGCTACCGACTACCTGAAAGATATCATTGAAACGGTTGATGTGACCAATTTTTAAATAATAATTCATTTAAAGTTAATAACTTGAATTAAATTGATTTAAATTTCGATGTAACTGATTATAAATAACTTAAATGCAAAATAACTTTAATTTAAAGAGCTCAACTTGAATCTTGTCCGTTCAATTGATACCATAGATGCATTCTTGGAACCAAGGTTTTAAAATTTTTTTTTGGGGTAAAATAACAAGGTTTTCAATGAACATATCGTATAGGCAGCTCTTTAATTTTCAAAATACAAATATATCAAGGTACAAGATCAAATACACCGTAACATAATAGCTTTTGAAGTTCAAAGTAGTACTATTACCTCAAAGCTATATACCAAAGTTATCGTGAATGTTGTAAATGTGCACAACCATCATCCAATGCAAAGAATCTGTCCAAATACCAAACTCTAAAACCGCAACTAACTTTGAATTGAATGATGAATTAAGCGAATATATAGTATCCCTGGTCTATAAGCTGAACCAATCATCGGAAAACCCTCCATCTACCGTCACACTTGTCTTGCAATGGACTGTTGCTGTTAGTGTATATATCTGTTGCATCACCAAAAATTAAGCATCTATGATTTACTTGGCTAGTAGTGTTTTTGTTCTTTGAAGAAAATGAACCAATCCCAGAATACAAGCTTCCAAGCTGGCGAGGCTAAGGGCCAAACTCAGGTGAGTGAATCTGTTTCATGGCATGGATGAACAGCACAAATATGAATCATAGTTAGTTTACATTATTCATTGTCATTTGTGCTAACTGTTTGCATTTTCTTTGCTCAGGAGAAGACCAGCCAGATGGCAGACAAGGCTAGGGATACTGCACAATCTGCTAAAGAATCATGCCAAGAGGTCCAATATATATATATATGTATATATATTTTTTTTTCATTTTGCTAGCTTTGGATAAGTTGATTAGATGCAAGAAAATTATCTCCTTGTGAGTGTTGAATTAGAATTGTTTCGCAGGCTGGTCAGCAGATGAAGGCTAAAGCACAAGGGGCTGCTGATTCCATGAAGGATTCAATGGGGATGAACAAATGAAACTGCCGGCTGATCCCACCACACCTTACCCTGGGGTACTTTGAGCTTTTGATTTTTCTGTTTCTTTGGCAACATTTTCGTCATTTTGCTCATGTTTCCTTCTAGCTAATTAAGAAGAAAATTTTCCTTTAGATTTTTCAGCTTCAATAATTTCTACAAGTTGTTGAGCCTTATTAATTGACAATAAATTTGGGTTGTGCTAGTGATGCCAGCTACTTAGAAGTGGTAAGAGATAATAGGAAAAGTTTCCTATTTCTGCCCAGAAAAGAATAATACAAATGATCCAGTTGCTAGAAAAACTCTTGTCCATTTGTTGCTTTTAATAATTCATGAGACAAATTATTCAAAAAATATTAAGGAACAATATGTGTGTGTGAATGCGTGACATATGCTAAAACATTTAAATAGCCTTTTCACTACCATTATTATCCAAAGTAAACACATCCATGTTTAAAATATGATCTCACTCCTTATATAAAAGAAATTTTCAGATATTCTTCAGCACCATTGCAATACAAAGTCTCAAAAGTCTTTCCCCCACATAATTAACTTTATCTGGAGGTAAATATTTGTAAGAAACTAAACGGTGTTTGGAACTTAAAATGTCTTGGGCTCTGCCTTGCCGTTGCATTCTTACTGATTTCCGATGGGGTTTCTTATAGAAGAAAGAAAGCATCCCGTTTATAAAGAAAATAGATTGATAAAGAAAGACAAGATGAATAATATGTAAAAGTATTAAAATGAATTCAAATTATCTTCAGGATGTAAACGAATCAAATAAAAATGAATCTTGTTGTGTCCATAATTTATTCATTTAACTAATGAATATTGAAATAATGTTTGTAATTTCGTTTGCTGATCTTCATAAATGAACAGGAATCCAACTTGTTCATAAATGGTTTTGTTTATTGAACACTTTGTTTTTTTTTATACCTTTGGATGTATACAAATTGAACATGAATAAATTTTATTATGTTTGTCACAACATATAGATCTGTAAATCTATAGCTAGACTTAACAAATGGAGTCACCACAAATCTTTTTTAATTAGATGTAATTGGCCACCTATGAATCTATCATCTTAAGGAACTCCTAAGCGTGACTAAAAGTTCCTAAAAAAATAGGTTCGGGTTTACTAACCAGAATATGGTTTTGGAGTTCGGTTATGTATGAAAAAGGTTATAACACTCCCACATGCCCATTTGAAGGATTGTACCATTTTATTTTAAATTTCTTATAACATCTTGATTCTAATGGTTTTAAAATTTAATATGTTGAATATTGAAAATAATTCTTAAGACTCTCCATCAATCTAGTAGAATTCTTAAAAATATTTTCTCACCTCAAGAGTATTCAAGGATCCTATTTGTTTCCTTAAAGAGGCTCTGTTATTGGAAAGATTTTTTTTGTTTGGTTTTTGTAGAAAATATATTTAATTATTCCACAATTTGGGTCAAATTAAAAATATTTTCTCTTTTTGAATTTTTAAATTTTTCATCATTTGGGCCTATTTAGAATTTTTTTTTTTTATTTTTAAAATTTTCAACATTTGGGTCAATTTAGAAATTTTTTTTTAATTTTTTGGAAAGAAACTAATATGACAATTATTTTTTATTGAAATTTCATTTAAATTCTTCTACTATTTGAGACAAATTTAAAGAAATTTCTCACCTAGAGATTTCTTAAAAAATTTACCATTTGAAATTTCTAAGAATCTCATCATAGATAATTATCAAATATTTTCAACAAAAAAATTTTATTTAAAAAGAATACAATTACTTTTATTAAAATTTCATCCAAATTATTCTACCATTTGGGACAAATTTAGAAAAATTTCTCACCTACAGATTTTTTAAAAATTTATCATTTGAAATTTCTATGAATCTCATCCTTGGGTAATTTGTATTTTTTAAAATTTTTATTAATATTTTTATTTTTTAATTTTTATTTTTTTGAAAATCAATATTAATTATTGTTATTGAAACTTTATCTAAATTATTCTACCATTTGAGAAAATTTAGACAAAAAGTTCTCACCTTGGAATTTTATAAAAATTTACCATTTGAAATTTTTATAAATTCCATCATTGGATAATTAATATTTATTCTCAAATTTTATTTTATATTTTCCCCAAACTTAATCATGCAAAAATACACACAAATAAAATAAATAAATAAAAAATACCAAAAAACAAAATGGCTCGATTAGAGGATTTGACGCGGCTCGGTTCTAAGCACAAAAAACTAGCTCGAGGGACGTGGCTTGGCGGCTTGGCTCGGCTCAAGGGATCGGTTGATATGCGGGTCAAAAACAGGTTAGCACTATGGGTCGGTCACCCAAATAGAAATGCGCGGATCCTGATGGGTCACTTAACACCAAAACGATGTCGCTTTGACAAGGTATATAAGGCTGAATTTTGGTTTTATCACCAAATTTCTCCTTTCCCCCTCTCTTTTTTCCCCTTTCTTTTCTCTCTTTCTCTCTAGACCCCTTAAAAGCATTGGTATAATTTCATCGAATTCTGAAAAATATGATCGAAATATGGGTTATCCACAGAAAGTTCACTAGAAAGTTTACCGATTTCTGGGGATGTGTCGTCAGAAACTGGGATCTCATGAAAGTCACTGAAAAATTTAACTTTTGCCAAAAAATTTCAACTGAAATATGAAAATTTCTAAAAAATTTCTAAAAATGTTTTTTAAACCCTAAAAAAATCTTCAAATTTTTGTGAATTGCTTTTCTACTTGCTGTGTTTTTTGAATTTTTTTTGTTTCTATAGGGGTATATTTATAGGGATTGGAACTTTAATCTAGAAAGGAATTTCAATTTCCTTCAAACTTTAGTCCTATTCAACCTTTTCCAATCCATCTTAAACTCTTCAACCCTAGTTTTACACAAATTCAACCATCTTTTTTTTTCGTTTTTTCATTTTTTATTATTATTTTATTTTTAAAATATTATTTTTAATAAAGTCTAAAGCAAGTTGATCCCCAAATAGATTGGGGTGTCTACAATGTATATAATATATTTGTTTAATTAATAAATTTTAAAATATTATTCATAATCATTTTTTAAATTTAATAAATAAATATGTTCACAAACTAATTTTCAAATGTTTTATGCATTTACACCCTTAATTATCTTATTATTTCGTTAAGAACACTTGTATAATATTTTCAAATATATGTTATTGCCGATATAGATATCTAGCAATTTTAATACTATGATAATATATCAAAACCACAAGTCAAATGGCTTTCAGTGTTATTTTATACATCTAGAGTAGACCTATTCATAGGTTGAGTTATTCACTCGAACTTGAAAAAACATTTGAAATTTTGAAGGATTTGGATATGAATATTAAGCTCATTAAATGAGTTGGACAAATAAATGAGATTCAATAAAAAAAAAAAAAAGACAACCAGGCTTGGGTCTCATTATTTAAGGCCTGAGCATGGCTCAACCTGGCCCAAAATTTTAAAATATATTTTTTATTATAACTAAATGCTCAAATCAGGATTAAACATTTGAGTGGTTATTCAATTCAAGAAAAATATTTTAATTCGTACAAATAAGGATCAAACAGTATCAACTTGTAACAATGTAAGATTTATTTCAACGGTAAAAAAGATGTGTATATTACGTACCATTATAATGTGTAAAAAGAATAGGAAGCAACTAATTAGGTAAATTTATGTTGATTTGGATTTTTTTATTACAATTCTGAAAAAAAAAAAGAAATGAAAAATTTTTTAGCAAAAAAAAATTATGTTTAACCTAAATAAAAAAAAAAACTAAAAAGTTCCAAACCTAGAGCAAATCACCCTTAACCCTAATCACCCAGACAAGTTATTTCAAACATTAATTCAATTTCATTTGTTAATTTATATGAGGTAAGCGTTTTTTTAAACCCTATTTTAGGCTAACCAATATTCAATTCAATCAATTACGCTTCAAAAATTGATTCTTTTTAGGGTTTAATCGATTGAGCTTCGAAAATTTGGAATGTTAATTGTTATTTTTTTGTTAAATTTGTGTAAGGTGAATAATATGGTGAATAATATGTATGTATATTTTGGGTTCTATTGTTTTTCATAGTTAGCCATTTTGTGATTGAAAGTTTTTTGTTATTCTTCAAAGTTAGGCATATTCTGGTTTAGGATTTTCTACAGTTCCTCATTTTTAGGCATATTCTGATTTATGGTTTTTTATTGTTGTTCTTAATTGCTAAACTTTATAGTTAACGTTTTCTACTGTTGTTTTTAATTTTTCAAATATATATTTGAGACTTTCTATTGTTATTCTTAATTGGTTGAAATAATAGTTAGGATTTTTTATTGTTGTTCTTAATTGCTCGAAATTATAGTTAGGGCTTTATATTATTGTTCTTAATTACTCGAATTTACAATTAGGGTTTCTGTGTTTAAAAAATATTTTGTTTAGACATAATTGTTTATATAGCCTCTTGATTCTTACCCATCACTTAGGCTTCCACTAGTGCTAGTATAAGTGATCACCTATCACTATTGTCTTAATTTATAGCATAAGTGAAGCCAATTAATCAGTATAAAAAATAAATATTATTTTATACAAAATAAAAAAATAATAATTCATGCAGATTAGGATTATAAATAGGGTTAAGTATGAAAGGTAACCAAGCTTAAGTATAAGCATGATCATAACTTCACTAGAACCAGCCACAAAATCACCAGAAAGATAACCAAGCTTAAGTATAAGCATGATCACAACCTCATGTCCACTTTGTAAATTATCTAGCCAAAAACATTACCAAATAACAGCATCAAGTCAATCATGTGAATTCTAATTCTAAAAACAAAATAACACAGAAAAATATACTAAATTTTTTAGCTAGAATGTGCATATAAAAGACCATTGTAAAAGAAAATTGCATTTCAAAGAAAGATTCTTGGTTATAACAAAGTACAAACTTATAACAAAATTTTATAACAAAGTAAAAGATTATAATAGAAATTAGATAACAATGTAAGGGACATGTATACTTAAACTAACTGTAATTTTTATTGTCAGGGATCTAGGGTTTCTTATAACACTTATAACATAAATTGTTGCTAGAAATGATTCTTATAGCAATTATCAACTATTGTTACTGGAATTTAGGGTTTATTGTGACAAAATTTATTTTTTTAGTTTTGCAATATAAGTTTTGATTATTGTATTCTACAATTTCACTATGCTAAGGCTTTTGTTGGTAATGGTCGTAATCTAATGTATATAAATGAGATAGTAGAAAAATTAATAGTTGATCC